TGGATGCTTGCCAACTCAGTGGTCTGATGGTTAGGCGCTCGCGCACGAGACTGCTAGAGAAGATCTACAAATTCTGAAATTAATTACAGAATTCATTCCAGCAGTTTACAAGCACGGTCAGCTTCATGTAAATAGTGACATTAAATGTGGAGAAAACACAAGTGATATAGGATTTTTCTAAAATGGTTTAGGCAGTAGATGTATGACACGTAATATAGTAAAGAAATTCATCGACCAGGAACTTCTAAAGTGTCATCCTGTATTAATGTAAGTTAGCAGCAGGTAAGTGATTCAATTCAGTGGATTCTACAATAAGAATGGCTGGACATTTAAAGTTCCTGTAACCTAAATTGTGGAATAAGACACACTTACAGGTGCTAGAACATTTGATGCATCAATGTAGCGAACAAGGGATTGAAGGGATTTTGGCAAATTATTCCAGATGATGGAAATTTACAGGTCAAGTAATTCATGTACCGAGATGATTTTGGATGAGTTTGCTTCACTATTGACAAGGAGTTACGGATACTGCAATCAGAAAATTCTGCATATTCAATTACTTGACTGGATGTAGAGCATAGTTTATTAGGTATTCTGAGAAAGGAAATTACGAATCCTATTCAGTTGAAGGATATTATCATTATCTTATAGAAATACAGTTAGTAACTGGTAGTAAATTTAAAAACGGTTTCTACTGACTTACTATATACTGAGAAATGGTCTTTACTTTCTTATCAGTTTTAGACATCACTTGGAAGAATATTCTCAAGAAGTTTTATAGACAAAATCAAATTGACTTGCTAGATACCAGTTCAGTAATTTAAAGGGGCGCGAGATAGATCTTGGGCTCGAGTCCCACGAGAGGGATGTCGGATATACACTTCTGAGTATTAATATATTCAAACACATAAAGATTGATACAATTAAGCAACAAATACATATGCACCATATAAATCAATCGATTTGCACGTTTCCCCACATTCAAGCAGGTGGTTTTCTTAGGGGACAATATCCCGAGCCTTCTATCTAAAGGTCTGATCCACAAATTAATCGATCAACGTTAGAAGATGCAGTCTCATGATAGCCGTGGACCAACTGTAAGTTCGTACATCATTTATTCCCTTAGGATCCTGTAGCCTATGTGCATCGGTTTTGAATCAGGGTTTTCCAACTCCCCTAGAAGAATTCCTCATATACATCAACCCGGCGTTAAAGCATCGGACATTCACTTTTCGTCCTCTCAATTTCGAAAATAAAACTCTCACCGCGAGAAGACAGTGAGTGAAACATTCCTGATAGTGGCTGTATATGCGTGGCCATTTGCGAGCATTTCTAGAAAGTGACCGCTGACTCTTTCCACTCTCCACCGTACCAGGGAATAAGCCAGTTTAGACGAAACAGCCGTCTAATGTTTCCAGGCTTTCCGTTGTGGTCTAGCTTTAACTGACTCATGAATTCAACTATTTTTGTCTCATACACTGATTCATGAATCTATGTAATTGCATGATACCAATTCCTTTTATGGATACCATTTTTCGAAAGATATAAGGTGTTCACCATATAAAAACTCGTTAGGTCACATGATTGCCCATTGATATTCATGAGGACTGATGATAATACTTTAAAGACTAATAATCTTGATATGAAATGATGTTATATCATAAAAGTCTGGATCAAATTTATTCACTGACCTGAAATCACCCTATTTATCAAAGCTAATCAATAAGACAAGATTATTATCCTCAGAAGAAATTAGACTACACAAAAAGAGAAAAAAAAGTATTCAGGCATGAATCAAATCATCACAACAAGAGTATTAACTTATAGTCTTTGATGTTCTGTCATGGTTACAGTCATAAGAGATTATAATGTTGTCACGCAAATGTTTTCAATGTTACGTTACGGATTAACTTTCGTTATTCTAATTCACTAATTAAATGATTTATTTATGTGCTGGATATCGACCATATATGAAAACGTCCTTAAATGCTCTGATGCGGTTTATAGTAGGGAGAGTCCGCTCTTATGCTTCAAATGCTCTCACATGGCCACGCATATACAGCCTCTGCCACGAAAGTCCTACGCGCTGCTTTCTCATGGCATTACTGTTGTTTACGAAATTGAGACGACAGGGAGAGAATGTTCGGCGTTTTACCCGGGTTGGTGGGCAGACAGATTCCATCCATGGGAGTTGGAAAACCCTGATTCACAACCAATGATGCACATGGGCTCCAGTATCCTGAAGCAACAAATGGCTAATGGACCAGTCGTTTATCACCTACTACCATGGGACTGCATCTCCTGATCTTGCTCCACTGCCTTCTGGATTAGACCTTTAGGTCAAAGGCTCCAGTTGTGACTCCCTAAGAAAAATTACCTACTTCGGTCTGGGCAACCGGGCAGTATCACAGCCCACACACAAATCAAGTGGCTTGTGTGTCGCATATGTACTCGGTGCCCGCTTTTACCAGTATCTGTATTCAAACAAATAAATGTACATCAGATGGGTTTTTGTGGAGATTGTAGTAATTTCAATGGTTAAGATCATGAGTCAGTTGAAGCTAGACCACCATGGAAAACCTGGAAGCACTGGACGGCCGTTTCGTCCTATTGTGGGACTCCTCAGCAGCGCGCATCCATGACCTCGCCTCCTGCGAGATTCGAACCCAGGACCTGCTGTTTTCGCGCCAGAGCACTTAACTACTAGACCACTGAGCCGGCATTCAACGGTGTTAATGTCTAACTTCAACTAATCGACGAAATTGAGCGACACATTCACCATTGTCTTCAGTGAGTTACTACATCACAACAGACCTGGTTGAACTCCACTGGTCACTACTTCTCACTAGAACTCCAGGATATACCTCGTGAAGCCAGTCACTAGTGAACATATTTTTGATTTATATCAGGTGGGTTTTTGTGGAGATTGTAGTAGTTTCAATGGTTAAGATGAACAGTCGTACATCATGTATATTGATTATATTTCAACATTAGAAATCTGTATCACATAATGAATTTGGGACGGACCTAATCAATGATCAATGTAGAATATTTTTTTATTGGAGAAAATATACAAGATTCAACATGTTCATATAACTCAATTGACCTCTTTGACAAAGAAAAATAATGAAGGTCATAATAATGTCCAAGTAGTGGATAACAAGTGAATGTGTTCATTTAATCAATAACTTATTAGTTTACAAATAAAATTTGGCACACATTACTGTACTTTACAGAAAATAGACCCTATTGTTTATTAGATTTTTCAAAAAAAAATTTATAACCATAGTGGAATAAGTCAGTTACAACGTATTGGGTTTGAATCCCACGGTAAAGATCAACTCTGGAATGCCGAGTGATCCAAATGAAAAGTTTTAAGTAGAATAAAACACCTGTGGTGGATTCCACTGCTTTCATTGTTACTCATGAATGTAACAAAAGGAATACAAATATACTTAATGGTATAGATTTGAATCAATCAATTGGTTAGCTACAACGTAGATCCAGGCACACATGAGCATCGGCATTATTTGCCACAGCTCATAAGCACAAGATGTACACCGAGTTCATAGTAGTTACTTCAATGATAGCAATATATATAGAAACCAAGATTGCATATAAGGATATAATACAAGGAGAAAGAGTTGGTTGATAGAAAGGTAAAAAGGAATTTTAATCACGGTGTACACACCTACACCATTGTGATCGATTCCGAACGATGTCACAGTCACCAATCATTGCTTATGATAGTCACACGGACCCCAACCAAATAATTTGCATGTATCAACAAGACTAAGACCAGAAGTTAGTGAATTTATGAACTGATAATACGTTTTGATTTGGTCACCCTTAAATTGCTTCCAACCATCCTCAACACTAGTCAACATTGTGGGTCGTAGTACATAACACGTGACCATATACATTGTCAAGTGATATGATTGTAAAGCATAGAATATAAAGCTATTACCCTGAGCTCCCAATTTTGGGGGAAATTTGACCCATTTATGGGAAGCCGCTATAGTAAACTCTGAGGAGATGGCATCGAAATTCCCCTTTAATCTTGGTGAAATTCCACCAAACCTAGGAGATTGGGTACGATATCATATTAATGGTAATACCGATGTCATTTACTCGGTTCATCGTTATCAAATGTACACTCATCTCATCAATACAATACTGTCAAGAATATCAACGCATTATAAGACTAATGTTTATTTATAAAAATAGTATGACATAAAAATATCTTTATCAAAATGTGTTTTTATTAAAAAAAAGATAAGATGGATAGATCACAAGTAAACAAAATGGGAACATTAAAAAGATAAAGAAGAGATAAGAACAACAACAATGACAACAACAACAACAACAACAGCAACCTGGAACTTATGATGGACTTGACAACAATACAAAAATAAAGTATTATACCGGTGTTACTATTATTATTATTATTATTATTATTATTATTATTAATATAAATGAATAAGTCTATCCATTAAAACACCATTAACATAGAGGTAGTATTAATTAGAAATTAAAAATCAATTCAAATCGAGCACACTGATTGTTCCGTGAATCAATATCATAATAATAATGATGATTAAAAGAAATCGGATCTCCATGATCCCTGGAACGAGCACAATTATCGATCTGTGAATCAATATCATAATAATAATAATAATGATTAAAAGAAATCCGATCTACAATGATCCCTGGAAAAGGTTGTTTACTTGAATAACAAATACAAAGTGTGGGGGGGAGGGTCTATGTATATAAGTAGTCACAATAATACTGATATAAAAAATAAGTAGTAAAGATTTGAAAATTACAGAATCAACGAAATCTATTTAAATAAATATTAATTTTATCATCTTAAATAATAATAATGATAATAATAGAAAGGTATATATATATATATAAATGTTCCTTAAAGGATAAACAAAACAAAAACCCCTTGGCAACAAGGAAAAACAAAACAATATATTAATTAAGTTTTTAAATTTTTAAATAGTAACTCGCCTTAAATTTGAACATAATGACATTGTATCCATATGACTATTACTATTACTACTAATAGTACTATCATCTTGTATAAAATGATCAATATCCCAATAACTCGTAGCTGTTCTATTCAGATTATGATTAATATGGTTCTCAGTTGTTACTGCTGCTGTTGTGGTGTTGGTGTTGGTTGTTGTGATTGGTGGTGGTGGTGGTGGTGTAAAATGTAAAAAATAACAATTACTACCAAATGGACAATGACCATTATTAGCATAATTAATACATATTCTAGTACGATATTTTGGATGAAATTGTGGATATTTTAATTCATCTGGACCATGAGCAAAATGACAATTATCACCAAGTGGACAATGTTTATATTTTTGATAATGTAAACATGGTTGCGTTTTATATCTTGCATTATAAATAGCATCTTGTTTACGTGGTATTGGATAACGCATATGTACTTGCATTGGTCTATGTGTATTAGTCAAAGATTGTAATTCATTAGAACAAGTGACTGTCTTTGAAGTAATCACAATACTATTTGATGATAATGATGATGTTAGATAATGTTCATCATTTTCTTTTTGTCTTAATAATGGTCTTGGTCGTAATTTAGTCATTTTTGGTATCTTCTTCATTGATTGATTCATTTCGAAACTTGTATCAAGACTTGTTGGAGTTGTTGTTGTTGTTGTTGAACATATAGGGAAATATATTGAATCATTCATTAATATATTCGCTTGACATGTACATACAGCTGATGTTTTCATTAGATTCGGTATATGATTTTCATTATTCTCTTGATCATAATACGTTTTCCATGTTTTATTTATAATCATCTTTAAATGATCTGGTAAATGAGTAAATTCATTTGTGGATTGAATTAAATTTGGATCTATGGATTCTATAGTTTGCCTAGAATAGAACTGATCCGTATTGCATAATTTATGACGTAATAATCGATCCTCTTGTGAATTATTCTTATTATTCGTAGTAGTATTAAATAACTCATGTAATGGGGATCTTGTTGTTGTTGTGGTTGTTCCTTTGCCAATATTCAAATTAGTTTCCATGTCGGTTAAATATTTAAGTACATCATGAGTTTCAAATACCATTCTGATCAAAGGAGGATGTTTTTTTTTATTTTTTTTTAAAAAAACAAACAAATAAAATAATGATAAAAATAAAAAATAAATTAAGTTTTGTGTGTCTTGGGGGAATCAAAAGGGTTTTATCCCAATTTCAAATTTTTGACTACTTTTTATGATTGATAAATAGTTGTCACTATTGGGATATCAAGGTCAACTGTTGATGAAATGAACCAATCAGAATGATTAGATGAATGAAATGATCTCGTTCCTATATCATGATTGATTCATTCCCTTAATTCACCCCCTTTCGTCTTCTTCTTAATAATAATAATAATACTACTAATAATAATAATACTTAATTTAGTTATAATTAATCCTTATCCTAATCACCACCATCACCCCCATCATGATCATCATCAAATGCTGTGTTTTTATTGGTTATTGAATTTTTAAAAATTATCATTAATATAGGGGGGTAAGAGAGAGTATGAATATATTCTACAATGAATTGATGATGAATGTCGATGATTCACATAAGTAATTGACATTCAATACAACTAATATCATCCTCATCCTGATCATCATCATCATCACCATTGTCGTCATCATAAGGGGAATGGGGATATGAAAACAAAACAATGATTATGTAATTGTTTTGATAAGATTCAATGTTATGGGGAAAATTTTTGTCTTTAGATAAGATAAGATAATGGACAGTAGTTGTTTTCCCCTAAATAAACGACGGTTATCTAATCCGATTTGAATTCAAGTTTAAGGTTTGTAACTTAAATAGAAATGTTGAAATGATTATCTATCCAACCTAAAAACTAGGTAGGTTAATCGTCTTTATCAGAATATGCTTTCCTTGGGGTATAGTGTGTTTGTGTGTGTGTGCTTGTTTGTTTGCATGTGTGTGTGTATCTATGTCTATATGTAATATTATGAATCGTCATGACTTGATGAAACCTATCTTATTGCATAATCAGTTATCTAAACTTCATTTCAGTCGATAACTTATCTTCAAAACCCTTGCGTAAACATGACAAATTGAAATTCTTTTACAAAAGATTTTCATCATTTCAATAGATTCGTTTTGTATTAATTGAAAGTGAGATCAACTTTTGGAAAAATCGAAAGACATTGGATATAATTGTTTCGTCTCAGTCTAAAACTCTTTTAGATCATTTAAGGTGATCAAGATTGGGTTCAAGTCCCAGAGCGATTATCAACTCTAAGATGCAGTTACATTCAGCTGACGAGTCCTAAATAAAACTGCTAGTCACTATCCATCTTTGTGTATAATGTCTAAACATGGTCGGTACCGCGTTCCTTATGTTAAGATGTTAATTGATTGGAAGAAGTTACTTGTAAATATCTCGATCCAATAATAGGTCAGTCGCAGCGACAATAACTAGGCGTAGGTATATTCAATGGTGAAGCTGAGTACTTACTAACTTACGCCTGTTACTCCTCGCGAAGCAGCATAGGTCGCTCACCAGCATTCTCCATCCAACCCTGTCATGCACAATTCTTTCAAACTCTTTCCAGTTGATATTCATCCTTTTCATATCTGCTTCTATTTCCCGATGTAATATGTTCTTTGGCCTTCCTCTTTTCCACTTCCCTTCAGGATTCCAAGTTAGGGCTTGCCTCGTGATGCAGTTTGACAATTTCCTCAATGTATGTCCTATCCATCTTCAGTGTCTTTTCTTAAATCTCTCTGCAGTCCGGAGCTGATTTGTTCTCTCCCACAATAGGCTGTTGTTGATGGAATTCGGGTGACGGACATTGAGTATCTTGTGTAGACAACTGTTCATAAATACTTGTGACATTTTGATGACGGTTGTAGTAGCTCTCCGAGTTTCAGCTCCGTACTATAGAACTAACTGTGTTGACATTCGTATTGAAGATTGTGACTTTGATATTGGTTTGCAGACGGTTGTTTTGAGTTGCACATGTTGTTCAACTGTAAGAAAGTTGTCCTTACTTTACGAATTCTCGCATTTACGTCTGCATTCGATCCTCCTTCTTCATCGATGATGTTTTCCAGATAGTTGAAAGATTCCACATCTTCCAGAGTTTTGCCATCAAGTGTGATTGGGAAGTATCATTTCCTTCACGATTACAGGCACACTTTTCTGACGAGTACCAACTAGAACAAAACCTAAGTCGAGTATGTTTTATTCCCAACTATCTGAAATATGTGTGATTGAACTTAACTATGATAATTGAAAAATCATTGACAATAAGTAAACAATCAGATTTTACTGCTTATTCATCTTGGACGAAGTACTACGACAACTGCTAATAATAATACTTGAATGCGTAAGTCATTAGGAGACTAATACACATTGAAATACATCAGCTTGAATCATAATATGTTTATTTAGACTGTTTATTATAATCACTTCAATACTTATTCTTTGGTTTTATTTCACAGACTTGTGCATGCTAATTGCTTTGTAATAACATTTTAAATCACCAACGTAGATGATCTATGTCAAATGATTGGAGGTTTACTCAAATTATACGAGAATAGTGTGACGAACCAACTAGTTTCAAAGTCACACCTCGACGTCAGCAATCAACGTGGATTATTCCTTCGACGTATCAAAGCACTATGGCGACTTTGAAGACCGCATAACACAAAGGACTTTATCATGAAAATATATTAGTAAGAATGAGTACTGAGAAGATAGCGAGACCACCACCGCATGCACCAGTCCATGGCATACGATTAACTGATATGCGTTGGTTATGATTGACCTTGATGGGGATCGATGATCTGTTCGATATTCAGTGACCCAAACTGTCGGGTGATTTGGCTCGGGCTCAGTGACATTTGACTAGCCCTACATCATGTTGTAGCCAAGACCCAGTCCCCCTACTTTTCTCCAGGTTCACATCACGAAATAAACCTACTTTAACAACTAATGAAAACCAGAAAGTATTGGATAGCAGTTTCGAAGGGTTATAAACTGGGTAACTAACTGAAGATCCAACTGAGTTGAAATCAAACGGTTTACAATTCTAAATCAATTTAATTTCCGATATCCTGGGACTATTACTTTCTGTGATTACTTCCATTGCTCATGTTATTTTTATTGTAATCAATCAATATTGACTAACTTACTGATGTCTTCATTGTTAACTCAAACTAAAAACAAATATCACATGGTGTTTTGCGGAGATTTTAGTAGTTTTATAGTTCAATTCATGAGCCAATTGATGCTAGACCTCTATGGAAAACCTGGAAGCACTGGACAACTGTTTCGTCCCATTATGGGACTCCTCAGCAACCGGATCAGTTGTGAGATAGTAACTCGCTGAGGACAATGGTGGACGGTGGCTCAGTTTCGTGGATTAGTTGAAGTTAGACATTAACACCGTTGGATGCCAGCTCATTGGTCTAGAGGTTAAGTGTTCGTGCACGAGACCGAAGGTTTTGGGTTTGACTCTAGTGGATGCGCACTGCTAAGTAGTTTCTTACCAGGACGAAAAAGCCGTCCAATGCTTTCAGGTTTTCCATGGTGGTCTAACTTCAATTGACTCATGAAATCAACTAGTAAATGAATGAATTCTTTAATACGTTTTAGAACTTGCATTACAATGGTCAATGCGCCATACAAGTCACTTGATTTGTGTATGGGTTATGAGTGATTTTCTTAGGAGATCACATACGGAGCCTTCGACATAAAGGTCTAATCCACAATGCAGTAGAACAACATCAGGAGATGTAGTCCCAATAATTGGTTCATACTCTATTCGTTCCTTTAGGATCCTGGAGTCCATGTTTGGAATAAGGGTTTTCAAACTGCCCTATGTGGCTCCTCCATATCCATCAACCCGGTTAAAGCCTCCAATATTCGCTTATCAACCTGTCAATTTCGTAAACAACAGTAATTTCGTGAGAATGCAATGAGTAAGATTCCTCTTACAATGACTGTATATGCGTGCCTATGTGAGAATATTTCGAAAGATAGTGAGAAATAATACTCGTTACCCTCGGCTGTATCAGAACATTTGAGAGCATAGTGATTTTTATCCCAAACAAATCGTAGCATAATATTTTACATTAAAATCAATTAAAGTATCATATATATAGATACATATTATTCCCTTAACTTATTATGAAAGGCTATTGACATGTCGATTGTAAATAAAGCTCACTATTATTACTAGTGGTGGTAGTAGTAATGGTGGTGGTGGTGTTGGTGATGTTGGTGGTGGTGGTATAGTACTGTTATTATTATTATTATTATTATTCTGTATCCTTTGCACTGTACAAAATAATCGATTGATTGGTTTAATGAGTACTATTCATATAGTTGATATTATCCCCAAATTTGATCGATAAAATGTAATCAATAATAGAATAGAACTCAAAAAAAGACCCAACTCAATATGAAAAAAAGTTGATGAGTAACTAACCCTGGAAAACAATATGAATATTTTATTCTATTGAATGTACTTGCATATTATATTTGAGTATCTAACTTAATACTATCAGTTTAAGGGTTGTGGAGATTGTTAAGTTTTTGATTGAGATCATGAACCGATTGATGTTAGACCATCATTGAAAACCTGGAAGCAGTGAATGGCCGTTTCGTCCTATTGTGAGACTCCTCAACAGTGCGCATCCACGATCCCGCTCGTGGGATTCGAACCCATGACCTTCAGCCTTGCACGTGAACGCTTAACCTACTGGACCACTGAGCCGGCATACAATTGTGATAATGTCTTACTTTAACCAATCCATGAAATTGCGCGACCATCTTCCATTGTACTGAGGTAGATAGATACATGTCTCTATCCGACATGGATTAGCTCCACTGGTCATGGCTTCTATGCTATCATTTGTTTTAAGCACTAATGAGTAATTTAATTAACTTTTGTATGTTGTTAGACTGTATTGAAACGATAAACCCTGGGTTAAAGTCATGGGAAGAATATTAATATCTTTATTCAGGTATATCTAGCTAGTGAGTCCTAAGATGAAACGACCCCCCCCCCTCTGAGTTTCA